ACGTTCAATCGTCAACGATAACTTTGGCGCGCGCGAAAAACAAGCTCTTTTTTTTTTTGTGATTGGAGTTTCACTTTACGCAATTATTAACAAAATGGTTCGGATCAGTGATTCGACAAACGTGTCGTCATATTTTTATAAAACACTTTGCGGAATCAAAAAAATATTCTCGAGCGATTTAAACACAAACAAAAAAAAAAAAAAAAGAAGAAAAAAAAATAACCAAATCGTAGATCGCCTCGATCGGGGAAAACCGAATATTTACTTTGTCGCGTTTCCTCGTGAATTTCCAGCGGAAGATCAACGGTTATGAGTTCGGGAAACGGGGATCGTATTAAAGACGAGGGCCCTTCCCTTCCTTGTTATTTATGGGTCGCGATCTATACGTCTGTCTGGAAGCGCGGACCGGCTGGATAACTCGTAGCTCCGATGTTCATGTTGAAAAATCTAGTGAATAAGTAGATGCTAAGCAGTTTCTCGAACTAACTTTAAATGGCGGGGCGCCACGTGAAATATTTGTGTAGTACAACGAAATTTATTTGGGCGGACCGCGGGATAAGGGAGGGATGGCAGATCCTTAAGAACTTTTATCAAAAAGTGTTTTACATTTTTTAAACGCCTTTCAAAGTGTTTGATTTCTCTCCTTCCCCCAGCGAGAAAGATTTCCACGATAAGTTTACGTTTTATGCCACGCGAGCCTCATTAAAGTTTCCGTTCCGATGCAACCAATTTTTGTTTGTTGAAATAAAATGAATTTGTTGAAATCGTTTAATTGTCTAAATAAGCAGAAAAATTTAAAAATATTTATAAAGCGATAATTTAAAATAAAACAATATGTTGTTACAATATTTTATTTAATTTTCTTATTGTATTTAAATCTTTATTGATCTAGTTGCATCTTAATATTGGCATAATTTTTCTCTATATCTCTTTTTTTCTCCCTTTTTTTTTTTTTTTCGTTAAGTGGACGAACCTTTTACTAAGTTTAAATTTATTTCCGAGCCCGTTTCACATCATATTCTTTTCATTGCAACGCTAAAACTACCTCAATTTCAAACCTCCATCAAAACTCGTTGGAATCACACCGTTTTCTTTTTTTATCACAAAAGTGTTGTAAGCCACTTTTACCTTCGCCATCTATTGTCGAGAAAGAGAAAAACTCGTCGAACGAGAAGAGTAACAATAATGCAGCAGGTGTTTGGAAGGAAACAGCATCCGCGTAAGAAGTTTCGACGCTAAGTTGGCCCTTGCGAAAAACCCTCGATTCCTCGAGGCGCCACCGATATCAGGTGTATACCTGTATTTGCTTGGTATTAAAACTTAAAACTCCACGAGTCGGAGGAGTCTTAAGCCCCGAAACTTTCAGTCTTCCTTCCTGGGTATTTACACGTATTTCAACGTGGCTTTTGTACAACGAACCCCGTGAACCTCATTCGGTTAGTCAAACAAATTTATCACTTGCCCGACACCCTCTACTGATTTCTATCGAATGACGTATATACGCGTTACTTTTACAGATGCACACATCGTGCACTCGATTTCCATTGTTTCACGGCTTTTCCCACGTTACATGTTTGTCGCAGTCCATCGAATTTTCTATGCGATTAATTGTCAATGCTGTGCTTCCTTTTTTTCTTTTTTTTTTCTTTTTCTTTTCTTTTTTTTTTTTTAGTCGCGCGAATTTTCGCCTGACTAGGTAGATCAACTGTGCATTCACAAGTTTATCTTTTGTTAGGGAGAATTTTCGTTCGAATCTTTGTGACGCTATGTCGTTCGTTTTTTTTTTTCGCAGATGTTCAAAAATCGTTAAATCATTAATATAGTTTGCCATAATACTTCCTTGATGAATAATTCGGAAATACGATAAGAAAGATGTAATAACTAAAAAAAGAGGAAAGGATTCGCGTGTTTGATATACGCGCAAAGTTCGATAAAAGTTTCGATAAAATTCCCGAAAGAAAAACTTTTAAAACAATTTCCATTATCAAACAATCGATACGAAGTACTCTCTCGATGATTTTCGAGCGAGCCATCGCGATCAGAATATAATCCTGAAAGGAAGAAATCGAATCGTCGATAAATTATCTATATAACTTTCGATCACTATCCCATTACCGGTATAGCACTGGAGGAGGTATCGGGCGAGAGGAGAGGAGACGGAAAGGGAGGAGGGACGATGGAGAGGACGATCTTTTCACGAGAAACGTCGGTTTCTCAGCGTGGACCGTTCGTCTTGCGAGAAAGTCTCGCAAGGAGGAGGGAACGATTCGTCGAAAGAGAAGGAGGAGGGCAGGGAGCCGTAAGCGTCGCGCGAAAAGAGAAAACTTTCTTTGGCCGATCCCGAGGAATCTCTCTCCTCTACCATCCCCTTTCTCTCCCTCTCTCTATCCCTTTTCTCCGTGTTCCACGACAGAGTCCATAAATTTTAGCAATTTCTGGAGTGCTGCTGCTGCTGCTGCTACTGCCTCCTGCTCTCTACTCTCTCCCTCCCCCTGTATATATATATATATCTATACCATTCTCTCTTTCACTCATCGTGGCAGCAGCGGCAGGAATAATAACGTGACGACAGAGCCCAATTGTCCCCTAATGCCGCGAAGTTTCTATTCAGAACATCTTTTTGTGCGTTACTACCGGCGGACGTGGGAGTGAAAGTCGTATCTCGCCACGCTGGCTGGAAGGGCAACCTTGCAATTCAGACGAGCAACCCGTGGGAGGGTTGCCAACTCCGCTATATGATAATGGACCGACGATGGTATGCCTACTCGATCTATAATACGCCCCCTGTATAGATATATATACGGATTATATATACGCGCGATATTTAGAAGTTCTTCCCTCCTTGATTTTCGTTCGTTTCATTCACGCGGAAAAAAGGAAAATTGGTCAAATTTTGAGTTTGAATTCTATGTACTTTTTAAGCACCATATAAATGATTCTTACGAAAGAAAGGAACGAATGACTTAGAGTAAAAGACAGTTGAAAGGTAAGTGTATCTGCGCTCGAGAATAATTCTCGAGAATAATTCTATAATTCGAGAGCAAATATAAATGGTATTTATATAGAATTAAGAAAATTGTAAAAAAAAGCTCCAAAAAATTAGTATTACGTTTACTATTCTATTCCATTCCATTCCTGATAACTGATAACGTCCACAACGTTACACGAAAGACACGTAATATCTATACAAAAATACCCACACTTGTGTGGTATACATTCCAGTCCCGTACCTGGAACAGTGTACAATAAAATTTTAATGGAAAAAACTAGATAAGGGTGACAATATCCTCCGCCGAAAATCGGTGACAGGATTCTGAGAGATGGGGGAGGGATGGGCAGCGGACAACGGTCACCTGCCAAGCGCGATGAGCAGTGCCTGTAGAAAAAGCAGACGAGACACGTGTAATTTTTATCGTCCGCGGTTGGTGGGGAGATAAACAACACACCCCTTCGACCGGTGGACGGAGAGACGCGCTACATTTCCGGTACGACGACAATTCCAAGCATCCTACCACGCTCCAGCTTTTCATTGTTACGTATCTGTCGACAACCGGTCACGGCTCTGACCGATACGGGAAACATGAAACAGAACGCCGCGGGGTGTCTGGCTCAAAAAGGAAGCCACTGAATGGAATCTCGGCGGAGCAGAAGACTGAGAAAGCGGGTGGGAAAAGCGCGGCGGAGAGCCGGGGGAACCCAGGGCCGTCGATATTCCCCCCCCATCCCCCGACGCG